GGAGGGATGGAGGGAGGGAGGGAGGGAGGAAGAGAAAGAAAACCTGAAAAAAGAAAGAAAACCTGCAAAGGATCACCACGGTCCCGTAATGGACTGGATTTGAAAGGTGGCACAGATGAAGGCAGTGCTTTTATGACTCCTTGTGCAGGAGTCATCAGAAGTCCAGAACTGAGTCCCTCAAGGACAGCTCAGATGATAGCAATATGTTTGTAAAGTGTGTACACCCTTTTGATTCATTCTGGTTCATCTTCGTCTTACATGTGACACTAACAGTTAGAAAGCTGGACTGTTCCTAATGTGAAGAGTAAGATTTTTCTCAATAGTGTCTGACTACCTGTTGCATCAATTCTAATTCATAACTGCTCTACAGAGAGCCTAGAGGACAGAGGAGAACTTCCCTTTAGGGTTTCCAAGGCCACAAACCTTCATGGTAGCCGACTGCCCCGTCTTTTTCCCGTGGAGTAAGCTGATGGATTCAAACCACCCATCTCTGGTTAGTATCCAGGTACTTGACCAGTGCAGCACCAGGGCTTCTGAGAGTAAAAACTCAAACAAATCTCTCCTTAGATGCACCATTCACTGGGATGAGTTGAAGTAATTGCTCCCATGTGGTTTTTAAAAATACTTGAGTAATTATTTACATTTTCTCTATACATAAATATACAGTTCCTCTTTCTTTTCCTACACGTGAAGCCATGGGAGAGGCTATGTTAACTTTGAAAATGAACCCTGTCTTCATTATACTGTACTCAAACTTGGTCAGAGTCTCTAGAAAGCAATTTGCAATACAAACTAAAGGTGTTCAATCCATGCTTTAAATTTCCTTATTATTAGTGCCTCATCTGTGGCATCAGGATTGGTGGACGATTTATCAACAATCTGTGTTATGCAGATGACACAGCCCTGCTTGCTGAAACTGAGGAGGACCTGAAGCGCTTGCTGCTGAGGGTCAGGGACTGCAGCCTTCAGTATGGACAGAGGCTCAATGTCAAGAAGACAAAGATTCTCACCACTGGACCAATTGGCAGCATCAGGATGGATGGTGAAGAGATTGAGATTGTTCACAGCTTTAGTTCGCTTGGCTCCACAATCAACACTCTTGACACCAGCAGCCAGGAAATTAAAAGACGTATTGCGATGGGAAAGTCTGCTGTTAGGGACCTCTCTAAAGTACTCAAGAGCAACGATGTGTCTCTGGAGACTAAGGTGTGTCTGGTATGAGCCATGGTCTTTGCAATCACTTGTTATGTATCAGAGAGCTGGACAATGACCAGGGAGGATAGAAGGAGAATAGATGCTTTTGAGCTTTGGTGTTGGAGAAGAGTGCTGAGAGTGCCGTGGACTGCTAAGAAAACAAACAGATTCATCCTGGAGAAGGTTAAACTGGCCTGCTCCTTGGAGGCAAGGATTCTGAGGCTTCGTCTGACATACTTCAGTCATGTATGGTCATGTATGGAGGGACCTGTCTTTAGAGAGGGACATCATGCTTGGGAGGGTGGAGGGCAGGCACAGGAGGGGAAGGCCCTCTGGGAGATGGATTGATTCGGTGACTGGGGCAATCAGGATGAGTGTGTCGGAGACAATGAGATTGGCACAGGATGGAGCAGAGTTTAGAGCTGTTGTACATAGGGTCACTATGAGTTGCGAGCAACTCAACGGCACATAACAACAACAACAACAACATCTACATAAAAAAAACCAACCCAAAATAATCAACTGCTGTTGAGTTGATCTTACCAATGGTGACCCTCCACTGTGTCCCCAAGGTCATGCATTATTACAAGAGGACACTCTTCATGTCCCAAGGGGATTCAAACTGCCAGCCTTTCAGTTAGCAGTCAGATTACACATTCTACACCAGGGCTCCTTCATATGCCAAAGAGAAAGGTTTGCTTGTCCCTTGCTTCTCTCCTGCTTTGTTCTCACTGAGGGGATGAGGTAACGAGGCTGCAGGCTCGGGCTGGTCTGTGAAACCTGACCCAGAGCAAATTTCGTTATTAAACTCATTTTCTTAAACGCCTTAGCTTAAGCTCGTTGATTTTAGCTGTTCTGAACACAATGCCGCCAAACAGGCAAGTAGGAGCCTGTCTGTCTCCCTCAAATATTTTATAATTGGACTTAGGTATGTGTCATAGCTTTCAAGGTTGCCAATTTTCTTAAATGCACATACAATTATAACTCATACGAACACTTCTCCAAACAAGTAAGAGAATTATTGGGATGAAGGGACATTTCCCACCAGTCCCAAGAGATGTCTTGCTAAATAAATAAACGTTCCCTGATCAAATAAGCTTGAGACGCCATGGCAGCCTGTCCCTATTAGAGGTCCATCAGACACAGCTGTGTATTCCAGGCTGCAGAAAGCTCTATTGACAAAGCCAGCCCTGACTTCGCTTGTCCCGGAGTTGTGGAGCTCCGGGCGTGCGTAGTGTTTGAGAGTGCAGACTGCCTGCTTACCAAAAGGTTGGCTGTTCAAACCCGCTGGTCCCTCTGTGGGAGAGAGATGAGGCAGTCTGCTTCCGGAAAGACTGCAGTCTTGGAAACCCAATGGGCAGGTCTGCTCTGGTGCATATGGTTGCTGCGAGTTGGAACTGACTTGATAGCAAAGTGTTTGAAATCTGGAATGAGCTGAACTTGACGGTGGGCTTCACTTTTTCACTTGTGAACATCTGAAGCATCATTGTTCTCTGAGCCTCTTGGTATATGTTGATTTTTCAATAACCTATTTCTAGTCTTTTTTTTCCCCTTTTGTATTGACAAATATTTCTATCTTTTTAAGCATTACACATCCCACAGCAATCCCTATTTCTAGTCCGTTTTATTTTTTTCATTAAGACTTTAGAAGGATTTCAAGGCCCTACACGTTTCTTGAGTACTTTGTGGACTATATAATTTATGAAAATGATAAACTTCTGGCATTTCTGTGCTTTATTTGATGCTTGATCTAGTAATATAAAGTAGCAATATTTTGCTAATTTTATGGTTCTTCATTTTAAAAATACTTGTCCTTAATGGCTGAATCGATTCCAATTTATGTTCACTCTGAAACTACATGGGTTTATTTTATTAATTTGAATTTACTAATTATAGTTGTGGACAAGGGACAGCTCCAGCATTTCTGGAACAGAGCAGTTTTAAATTGTGACTTAGTTTAAAACCAACCAAAGTTGACTGGCATCCATCCATTCACTTACTCAGAGCCAGCCATCGATTATACAGGCCATTAACTCATTCATCCAGTAAGTATTTTGAGGTATATTGATGCCATAAAATATAGTTATAAGGATATCTAAGGGAAAAAAACGCAAAGACTAATCCATGTCATTTTAGTGTTTGCCGTATTATAAGGGAAAACAAACTTTCAGCAAGCAACAACAGTCACCATTTAAAATAAGACGTGGAAATATACTTCTGAAAAGATTCCAGAAGTCCTCTGGGATAGTTTTATTCTGTGTTCCATTGGGTCACTATGTTGTTGCCACTGTTGTGTCTTGTTGGGTAGAAAAGCTAAGATAAAGTTGACCTTCCACAGGTTTTCAGAGGCTGTAAATTGTACTGCAGGAGATTGCCTGTCTCTGTTCTATGGAGCCACTGCTGGATTTGAACCACCAGCCTTTGGGTTGACAGCACACCTCTTTACTCAGTAGGCCACAAGAGCTTTGTTAGGATCAATGTGGTCAGAATTAGCCCAATAGCAGTGGACTTACTGTATTATTACTTTTTTTTAAATTGACTATTATTGCGTGTTATTTGAGCAGTTAAGTAGTTTGAACCACTAACTATTAGCAGCTGATGTCTTTTATCATGGCACCAGTTCTCCTATTATAATAGTTGTTGTTGTTGTTGTTGTTAGTGTCACTGAGTCAACTATGAATCATAGTGACCTGTGAACAACCTGGAACCATCCAGTGTCATCCTCATGACAGGAGAGAGAATATGAAGGTAATCTAAGAATGAATTTCAGGAGCTGCTATCGATCCCTGTCTAAGTCCAAAATCTGTAAACTAGAAAAGATACAAAGAATAAAGAACTCACACTTGATCCCAAATGACAATATCTTTATTATAGAGGAGAGACACATCTCAAATAATTGTTTATAATGCTTCCAACAAGAAAATCAATAGCTAAACGTGAAATTAATAGGAAACCACAGTTCTGATACGATGTTTTGGTGATTAAGCACATTAGATTGAATTGTTTCAGAATGCCTAATTATTGTGTCTGCCACACTCATCTGTTTGAGTCATCCTAACTTTTGGACTGCTGCCTAAATTATCTCTGCAGTACAGTTTCAGTTGCATATTCTTCTTTTTTTCTTTTTTCAAATATCTAACATTCCTCCCTATGCACAAAGAACTGAAGTTTGCAAACTCTCTGTAAGGACTAAATCATTGTCAAGGTGGTGAGTTTAGGAAATTTGCATATAAACAGATCTGTTCTTTGTGTTTTGCAGGTTTATGATCGAGAAGTGCCTGTGTACGGTTACTGTTACCAGAAAGTGCAACGTGGGGGCTCTTGGATGAAATCTTTTTTTTCCTTCGAATACGCAAGATCCCAGCCCTTACAAGTGGATGAAGATACCTCACTTGTCTGACTTTGCCAGTTGTTTGGTTTCCAAATTTAAAAGAGTGGAGGGAAAGAAGTAGCCCATCCTGCTAAACTTTGACCTCTGAGTGGCTTCTTATAAACCTGCATAGTCAAGACTTAAGCATCCCAACTGAATTCTGTCTCAAGAAGTGCCATGATCCTGAAGTCACTTTATTATGAAACAGTTTGATCTGCAAACGAGTCAAGACTCTCCGACTCTGGCAGCCAGCAATGACACTCAGTGAGCTTTTATTGCGGCCCACAGTCTTCAATTGGGACATATTGATCGATGAGTGACACCTGCCGATAAATTCACGACTCACGCTGCTCAGCGGGCTGGACTTCATTAAAGCAACTTGTCACTTCCCTTGAGACTTACATGTGGGATTTGTCACAGCACTAGTTTGGGGATTTTTGGAAGTTGGATTGATATCATCATTTAAGAGACTCTCACAGGACCCCCACTGTTTTTCCATCATGGCCTTGAACGTTGCCCCCGTCAGAGACACTAAATGGCTGACGTTGGAAGTGTGCAGGCAGTTTCAGAGGGGAACCTGCTCGCGCTCCGATGAGGAATGCAAATTTGCTCACCCCCCAAAAAGCTGCCAGGTTGAAAATGGAAGAGTAATCGCCTGCTTTGATTCCTTAAAGGTAAGAGGGTGTCTCGTCTGTGCCGTCCAGTGCCTTCCACTGTACTTTGTGCACATGTTAATGATTGTTTTCAGAGTCTGTGTTCCTGTTTATAGTAATTATCGCAAGATTTTTTCCATTATACTTTTATATTTATTCTAGGCATATATAAGATTTTCACACATCCATGTTTAGATTAAAAATATATGATGGTGTATTTCTGGTCTGGTGTGACACTCATGTACCCAAGAGTTTAAATCAAAGTCTGCCTGTGACAACTTAAGATAAATATTTTAGTAATGTTTGATCTTCTGGAGGTTATATAAAGGAGAAGAAAATGAATGTGTCACTTTTATGTGCCACTTGCTCTGACTTCCCTCTTGAAGAATGTATTTTTCCTTTTGGCTCTGTGGTTTGCTTTCTTGACCAAGTATCCAAAGTATTTCTGAATTTTTTGTTGTTGCCGGTCTCTTTGAAAATGTGTCATGAATGGCAGAAATTTTTACGTACACACTCAGCACTCCTGGAAAACCCACACTTTGTGATTTATATAACATAAACTAACATGATTCGAATAAGATCCTTATTGAGCTTGCCGTCCAGTAGAAAGCACTGTGATACAGAATAGAAAGGGGCAGTGTCTTTAGAAAGGAACAGAGAGAACACTGTGGGAATTGACAGAACAAAGCGAGCTGAATCCCCGTGACAGTTTCAGGACACATTCTCAGAGTTCATAGCATTTGAGCTAAATGCCGAAGTTGAGTACAGTTTGGATCAGGTGAAGGATTCATTAGGAAGGGTGCAATTGAAAGAAGTTAGATAATTTGACCAACAATTTAGTTTCCATCTTTTTTGCTATTGTGAATAATAATGATAATAATAATAATATTGTTGCAATAAATATTGGTGTGCATGCACCTGTTCATGTCATGTCTCTTGTCTCTTTAGGGTCTATTCCTAGGAGTGAGGTGACTAGATCATAAGGTACTTCTATTTCTAGCATCTTCGTAAAGCACCATACTGTTACTGTAGTGGTGTACCCCTTTACATTCCCACCAGAAGTGTGTGAAAGTTCTAATCTCCCCACAACCTCACCGGTACTAAGTTTCTGGGCTGTTTTGAGTCTCGTTGTTGTTGAGGTGAGATGGTATCTTTTCATGCGTGTGTTAGATTTCAGAATGTCTTTGTGACATATCTACTCACAACTTTCATCTGTTTCTAAATCGGATCGTTTGTGTTGTTGAGGTGTTGAAGTTTTCGATGCATTTGGGAAGTTAGATCCTTGCTGAGTATGTTTTCCTCTCTGTAGGTCTTAGTGGTAAGGAGCTGCACTGCCAATCTGAAGGCACACAGTTCAAACCCACCAGTTTTTCTACAGGAGAAAGATGGGCAATCTCCTCCTATGTGATTTACTGCCTCTTAAAACCTGTTGCAGGATCTGCTATGGGTCAGATCCAACTCAACGGTACATAACAACAACAACAACATTTTCCTAGTTCATCTTCTGTTATTTATGAATTTTTATCTATGTCTGCACTCTATCCATGCCATATGTTAGGACCTATAAATTGTGAGGATGGCACAGGATTGGACATGGACGCTCTGGCTCAGGACCAATATGATGGCAGTGGTTTTTTACAACCCTGATGAGAGTTATTCATGCATATTTTTATAGTGGGGCGCTATCTTATATTACACATACAAGTTGGGCTGCTAATCTGAAAGTCAGTGGTTTGAATCTACCTGCTGCTCTGCGGGAGGAAGACAGGCAGTCTCCTCCTGTTAAGATTTACAGTCTTGGAAACCCAATGGAGGATCACTATGAATTGATTAGATGGCACTGGATTGTAAGTGATACTATTTTATTTCCTTTCTAGTGTCCTCTTTGTTAGTGTGGAGAAAATCCAACTGATTTTTCTACATTTATCTTGTACCTTTCTACTTTGCTAGATCCTTCTATACCAGTAGTTTTCTTTTATAATGTTTGGAGTCGTATAATCTGTGAACAGTATTATATTACAGTTACTTTTTCTTTGTTAATCTATATGTCTTTTATCTCCTTTTCTTGCCTCAGTTCTCTAACTAGGACTTCCAGTACAAGGCCGAATATGACTGATAATAAAGGGCATCATGGTCTGCTCCCTATTCTCAAGGAGAATGTTTTCAGTCACTTTTTGTTGGGAATAATTATGGCTGCTGGTTTGGTATAAATGTCCCTTTATTCTGCTAAGTCATTTTCCTTCTGTTATTCCTGTTTTACTGAGAGTTTTTATCAGGAATTGGTGTTGGACTGTATCATATCAGCTCATAATTTGGGAGGGGCTTGTATCTTTAAATTATAATGCTATAAATTCTGAATTGTTTAAATAAAATATTTAGGTCATACATGGGTTTTAACTGTGATAAATAAAATATGTAACTAAAAGAGATCAATTTTTTAATCTTTGCAATATTTCTTATAAATAAGGTTATTGTTGTTTTTGTTATGTACCGTCAAGTCGGAACCGACCCATAGCTAAGCCTCTGGTGGGTTTTGAGAGGCAGTTAATCACATGGAAGGTGCTCCCGTGAAGCGGCTGGTGACCTTGAACCACATCGCTTTGGGATTGCAGCACAGCTTCTTGCCACTGGGCCACCAGAGAGAGATCAGAAAGAAATACATTTCTATAGTCAGATATTCTCAAAACACAATCCATCTCTTCTTTTTTACAGACAAGCAGATATGTAGTAATTTATCACCATTAATGTCCTTCATATCTTTAATGGCATGATGCAGTAAATATTATACTGCTAACCCAATGGTGAACAGTTTAAATAAAGTTACTAAAATAAAAAGAAAAAAGTATTAACTCTTCCTCTTGTGCTCACCTCGGCAGCACCTATACTGAAATTGGAATGATACAGAAAAAATTAGCAAGGCCTCTGTGCAAGGATGACACGCAAATTTGTCCTCTATATATGATTTTCTAAAATGTATACCGAGTTTACTTAATTGTGACTGGAGCCTGTTCTTGGCTGTTGAAGGAAATAGTATGTCTTCTGGGGGGAAAATTAATCTTGTAAGTGAGAAAATATCTTACAAAAGCTGTAAGTCAAAGTTTTAAATCATAAGTATAATATTTTAAATCTTATAGATAAATATATGTTAGAGGAAAATTTGTTGATACATTAAAAGCTAGAGAATACATTTACAATTAAAAGTCTTTAAGTGGTTAAAATTTGAAAAAAATAATTACCTGTGTAATCTGCCTCACTGAAGCATCCAGTTGTATTTCTTTTTTTTTCATAATTTTTTTTAATGTTCAGAAAGTACCTTGTCTACAATGGCAATGAATGTTGTTATTGTTAAGTGCGATAGAGTCAAGTCCAACTCATAGCAATCCATGTACCCTTGAAACAGCTCGACGGTGCCCTCATCCTCGCAGACTCGGCCACGCTTAAGGCCATTGTGCCCATTGTTGTGTCAACTAATCTCATGGAGGGTCTTCTTTCCTTGGCTAATCCTCTCATTTCCAAGCATAGTGTCCTCACGGACTGGCTTTCTCTGATAACTTGCCAAGAATATGTGGAACCAAGCTTCACCCTCACTGTTTAGAAGGAGCACTTTGGCGGCACTTATTGCGGGACAGATTGATTTGTTTGACAGCCCTTAACATAGCCAACGTTTTTCCACCAACATGGCAATAGGAAAGCACAAATTCACATAAACTGAGGGGTAGAGTGGCAGTGAAAGAGAGAAAGACCCTCATCGATATGGCTTGACACAGTGACTGCAGAAATAAGCTCACGTGTGTCAGGGACGTGAGGATGGCGCAGGATGGGACAGGGTCCAGATGGCTTCTTCATAGGGAGTCATACTCAACTCGACAGCATCTAACAACAACAACAACGTGATGACATAAGCAGTACGTCCATGGCTCAAAAGTTTAATCCTCTCACGTGCTCACAAAGGTTTAGCAGTTTGAGTCCATCAAGAGGTGCTTCCAGAGGAAAAAGAAATCTAAAAATCAGCCACTGAAAACAGGGGAACACTGTTCCGCTCTGACATACATGGAGCTCTTGTGACTTGGCGCCAATGCAGTGACAAGCGGCTTGTGTTGTTTTCTTCTCAGTGGTTTAGACGTATTCTAAACGATATCCTTTTGCTTTATTAGAAAATAAAGCAACCATCTATTCATCGCTTTGACTATCACCAATGGAAACATTCACTTTGAAAAACAAATTAAGAGGAAGTAAATGAAAAACTAGATCATAAGACCTTCAAAATAGGGAAACTGGTCGAAATGAAGAAATCCATTGTCCAGATTATTCCTCTTCATACTTTTTATTAGCCTAAGCCCTTTCTGATTGTATTTTTAATATTAAATGTCACCATTTTAGCAAATTCCTTGGAAGTTTATACTGCTTCTATGAAGAAAATATTCCAACCTATTAAGAGAAAGTGTTTCTTTAGTATCAACAGTTTATCCACTTTAGATCATTATAGTTTATTATAACCTGGTGGATTCACCAGAAACACGATTGGTTGTTACTTCAGGTCTGCAGAGAAATAATAAAAAGTAATTCATTTTTAGTGTGAAAATATCAATCAAGCCATAATATGTAACTTTAAATCAAGTGGGAAAAGGCTTTAGAAACAACTTTTAGAACTGCCCAGGAGAAGAGTGAGGGAGCTCTGGTGGCTTAGTGTTAAGAAGCTGAACTCCCAACCCAAAGGTACCAGTTCAAACCCACCAGCTGCTCTGGGGAGAAAGATGAGCAATCTCCCACGGAATTTACAACTTCAGGAAAGTCTTTTGCGGGTCAACTGTGATCTCTTCCAGCTTGATGGCAGTGAGCAAGTAGAACGATGACTGCAGCACTGAGCTTGTAGGAGGTGATGAGGAGGGCACAGGGCAGGGCACCCTGCTGATCTGCTGTTCAGCTGGTCACTATGAGTCATGGTTCACTCAGCACGTAACGCCAACAACAATGGAACAATGTTCTAGTGTTTGACTATTATGCTCGCTTAATGCCTCAAG